AGTTAAATAAAATGTATATTTATTAAAATTAATTCTACCTGTTCCTTTTTATTTTCTTCAATATGACTGCTAAAAATATTTTTAAATTATTTATGTGGGTCACCTATTTCTACTAGAAACTACCAGTAAGAAAATACTGCTTAACCATGTTCCTACATAATAAGCTTAAACATATAAACTATCGTTCAATCTGGGGCACCATTAAGACTGACAAAGGTACTATTAATACAGAAACATTGGGCATTGAAACATTGCAACCACACTTTAGAGAGTATACGCATAAGGAGAAATACAAAATTGCCAGGAGTTTTCTGTATCACATTTCTACAATATTTTTACATTACTTAACTGAAAAAAAAAAAGAATTGGCTTATTCTTCTACAACTTTTCTTCTCATAAATTCTTCTTTTTCACACATTGCCAGTTTACCCCTGCCCCCAACAAGGAGTTCCCATTTACAGGAAGTATAGAAAAATGTAATTCTCTTCCCTCCCATATCATATATATTTCACAAAATCAAAACTCAATGTGCAACTAAGGGATTCTCCATCATTAGTGCTTAACTTTGTATTTAAAGTTGAATACATTACTTGTTTTGCAGCTAGCAACAGAAAATTAGAAATGTTTAATCACTGGTTCAAATTTTGGAATGAGAAAAATATGTCTCAAGTTCAAATTTAAGCCACTAGAAAATAATGACTGAGTTTTCCTCTTCCAGGGACAGTAAATACAGGTGTGGCAGCTTACAGAGGTTCTCTGAGCTGACTTAAGAACAGTCAGCATTTGACATACTACCATCACAAGCTTTCCACAATACAGACCCTAACAGAAACAGGGTGTGCCCAGCCCCTGGTAACAGATCATTTGCCTTTACACCAAAAAGGATAGGAAAGCACAGAAATTTCTGCATGTGGAGTGTGCCTAAGCGAGTGCCTAAACTTCAAAGAGTCTATGCTATGGGACCTAAAATTATTATGTGATTATCTAAATCAGTAAGAATTATGTGTTCCATGAGTGCCAATGTGTCCATGACTAGATCAAGCATGCTTTCCTCACTGAGGAGCAGAAAGTCATTCGTGAATATGGTGAAGGGACAAACAGTCAGAAAGTAAAACTGAAAAGAACTGAATTTGTTTTCATTTTTTTAGACGGCAGATTTAAAAACTTCTTTAAAGAAACTTTCTTCTAAAAAAACCCTAGAGGGAGCTATAACTTCACAAATATAATAGATGCTAGCCTCCTGCAATTTACACTGCTTAGAATATTGGTAATAAATTAAGTATAACTCAGTAACAATCTTGCTGGTTCACTTTTGAATTTTTAACCTAGTCTTATTATTCCTGGATATTTATTTTGTTTTTGCCGTACTAGGGATTGAATCCAGGGCCTCACACTGAGCTATGATCCCAGACCTTTTTATTTTTTATTTTGAAACAGGCTCTCACCAAGTTGCCCAGGCTGGCCTCTAACTTTCAATCCTCCTATCTCAGCCTCCCAAGTACCTACCTAGTTGTATAGGGATGCATCATTACACCCAGGATTCCTAAGATTTTATTTTTGTTTTTGTATTTGGTGTTGTTCTGTTCTGTTTTGTTTTGTTTTGTTGTTAAGAGTTGGATTAGGAAGGGGAAGGAAGACAGGAAATCAAGCAGGCTGCAATTTACCTGAGCCCAAAATGTAACTGCATCTTCTACATGACTTCCAACCACATCTTCAACTAAAACCAAATTACAATGCAAAGAAAATTAGAAATTATTATCATCTGAATTTTATACCCCAAAATAATTTTTAGTGTCAATACCTTCATTGTAGTGTGTATCTTCATCCCTTTGGACAATTTCTGAAAAACTAAATTCAACATCTCGAATTAGGTTATAATAATCTATCAATTAACAACAAAAAAGACTAAACCACAAAATATTCAAATTTGTACAACTGCTGTTTTGCCCGAAGGAAGTTATCAAAATTCAGACTCTATATTAAAAATGACCTGAAACATTTTCTCCAATAATTCTTGTTTTGAGTATACTGTAGTTTGCAATTTCACCACATGTAATCTGTATTCCTAAAATTATCTTTAGTCAAACTTTTACTCTGAAGAAGATAATTCATGTACATTTTGTTTGTTTTAGTGTTCCTGGTTTTTTTAATAAATTTTATTTTTTATCCCTTTCCCTCCTCAAGCCCTCTCCCTTTCCTAGGTACAAAAGCTTTGTTTCCATTTTTTCCTTCTATTTTTCCTTTTTTTCTTGTCCCTTCCTTTCTTTTCCCTTGTTCCCCTTCCCAATTAAACACTTTCTTCCCATTTCCCAACATTCATTATACATTTCAGTCCTTATTTCCACTACATTTGGCCACTTACATTAATCAATACTTTGGGAAAAACTGTGTATATACTTTTTAAAAAATAATGCCCTCTTAAACAAGTGTTGAACTTTCACAATGTAAGCAAAGACAAACACTACAAATACTTGAAACTGGTAGTCTATCTTTTTTTAAAAAAAGACACATTGGGTACTATTTTTTTAAGAATCTTTGGGATTAAAGACATTTTAAAATGATCAAATTTTGCCCATTATCTCAAAAATAACTTTTTAATTACACAAGACTGTACTATCTGCAAAATATTTCAAAAGAAATGTTCACTACAAGTTTATTCCCTACACACTGGAATACTGTACTTTCCATTCATAGATGTTAAAAGAAAATAAAAATATACTTTTGGTTTTCTAGTGTTGAGTTCCAGCTAATTTTCTTTTCAGAAAGTTATTTATGCAAGGTATACATCTATCTTGATAAGCACTGGAGTTGATGTGATTGGCTGGCATGCTTTTCTCCCACCCTCTCCAACACTGTTTCTGTGACGTATCAACGAAGTATATTATATATAATAAATAGGCCCCCAAAAATTTTAACAACAAAACCCCTCCATGGAACTGCCTTATACCTGGCATGTTAAGGGGACGGATATATATATATATATATGGATTTTTTTTAAAGCTTTAACAGTTACTAAAAGCACCACTAACACAAAAGTTTCAAATGCTCTCTCAAATATGAAAAGAGAAGAGTTATTAACACTACAGAGCATCGAGATGTCAAAACAAAGTTTTTTAAATGTTGATCAAAACGTGGTTTTAAAATAGAACTGACAGTATTTGTAAAACCAAGTTAGAACCCATTTAGAGAGATTATACTCTTCTCTGTAAGACGGTAAGTCTGAAACAGTAAAAATAAAAATGTTTGTTTTGGAAATCCCACCACTTGTTCTAAAAAGCTATTTTCTAGAATAGTCTTATTTAAAATGACTTGCCCCAGGCCAGGGATTTAGCTCTGGTTCCAGCGCCTGCCTCGCAAGCACAAGGTCCTGAGTTCGATCTCCGGTAACAAAAAAATAGATAAAATGACTTGCCCAGAAGATGAAGGAACAGATGCTGTACCCATTTTTTGCGAACGTGGATTACCAAAGGGTCCGTCCAAGTCTGCACTACAAAATGAGAATTTGGAATAAATCCTTAAAGGTTATTTTATGAGAGATTTCGCAGTTTAAATGGCACCGAATTTGCAAAAAGGGGAGGAAACAATTCCACCCAGGGGGAGGCCCAGTCTTCACAAAACCCTCAACCCCAAGTTCTCTACAAGCCACTTTCGCATCCGGTCACCACACTCACACACCTGGTGCCTGGCGCCCCTTAGCGGTGGCAGGCGGGGGAGGTGGAGGCGGGGGAGGTGGAGGCGGGGGAGGGGGCGGGGGGAGGCCGCGTCCCGGGCTTAGAGCCCTAACACGGGACCAGCGACTAAAATACTGTCCTGGAAGTAGCCGCCATCGCACCCCACCTGCCACAAGAAGACTACTTACCTCACACTTTCTTCCACAGAAGCGCTATTAAAGGAGCCCTGACCCCACATGCTGGGCCCCCAGCCTGCCACCCGGTGCCTCGTTAACCTTCAGCCAGCCGTCGCGCACGTGCTGACGCTTACCACGCTCGCTTCCGCGGCTTCGGACCCACACTGCGCCTGCGCGCACGGTGCTGCAACATTGTCCGGGCTGGGCTGGAGACCCGGCCAGGTCGAAAGTCACGCGGTGCCAAGGACTAGGCCCTGGAACACGCTTCGAGGCGAGGACTCCACAAGCTGCTGCCTACCTGCACGCAGAAAGCAGCGCATTAAGGACTGCTGGCGTCTTATAGGCCAGTATCCCCGCACCTGTGAGCCAGTGACTGGTTCGGTTTATCAAGAGGCCATGACGTAAAACCTTTATGTGGGGTGGCGTGGGCTTTCCTGATTTGTTCAGTAAGATGTAAATCTCACAACGTTCCAACTGCAAGCTTCTCGATGTTCTTTTTGAGAGATGGAAAGGGGAAAATTACCTGGATTAATAAAAAATGTGCTTTTCAGACAGTAGTTTTACATGCATTTCTCAAGCCAACCTTAGCATCTGTGTCTCTTACCATTGCCCTTTTGTAGGGGCCTGGAAATTTAGCTCAGTGGTTACATTGCCCTTTTGTTTTTATGACGTACACTTTGTGGCAACCCTTGCCCTCAAAGTAATTTAATGTTATCGAGGGTATAATTTACATATAACAAATTGCAGATTCAAAAGTTCACACTATGTTAACCATGAACGTTTCCATGCATCACCGAAAGCACTCCCACAAGTAAGGCAAACATGCCTATTACTCCCAGAACTTCCTTATGCCCATTTACAATGCCTTACTACCTCCAACTCTCTCTCTCTGCTTGTATCACATACACTAATTTTCATTTCCTAGAATTGATATTAATTGAATTATATGGCATGCGTTATTTTATTTGGCTTCTTTTGAACAGCATTTAATTATTTTAATAGTCATCTGTTTTGCCTTAGAGTTTGTTGATTTTTATTGCTAAACACTTGCAATGATACACATTTGGGCTATTGCCATTGTTTTAAATAAAGAGGCTATTGTGTGCAAGTCATTGGATGGACATATGCTTTAATTTCTCTTGGGTTAATGCCTATTTGTGGAATGACGCCGTGGTAAAATTAGCCAGGTGTGGCGGCACACGCCTATCATCCCAGCACTGAGGAGACTGAGGCAGGAAGATTATGGAATTAATTGAGCCTAGTCTGGACTACAGAGACTCAGTCTCAGAAAAACAAAAAAGACCAAGAGATGGAGAGGGCTAAGAGAAGGAAGGAAGAAGGGAGGGGAGCAAAGGAGGGAAAGTAAAAAGAATTAAAATGTGTTATGTACATGTACCAACTCCCCACCGTGAATGTAATCATTATGTGCTCCAAACATGTACTAATAAAATTTTTTTAAAACAAAAAAACAAGTAAGACTATTTTACAAAGTAGTTGTCTTACTTTATATTACCACCAGCAGTGCTTAGGAGTTCTAGTTGTTCCATATCGTCATTATCATTTGAAGTGATCAGTGTTAAGCTTAAATATTTATGCATTATAGGATCTCCTTGTGGGCTTTTTTCTTTTTTTTTTTTTTTTTTTTTTGCGGGGAGGGGGTGAGTCTGTCTCACTATGTTGCTCAGGGTTGTCTCAAACTCCTGAGCCAAAGCACTCCTCCCACCTCAGCCATGGTGCTGAGACCATAGGCATGGGCAGCACCACGCCCAACTTTCATTGTGGGTTTTTTTATTTGCAGTGTTCTCTTGACCGAAAATACTGAGCACCTTTTTTATGTTTATCATCCATCTGTGCCTCTTCTTGGATAAAGCATCTATTCAAACCTTTTCCTATTTTTAAATGGATAGTTTTCTCATTATAGACTTTCAATAGTTCTTTGTATGCTATAAATACAACTTCAGATTTGCAAATGTCTTCTCCCAGATATGGCTGTCTGCATTCTCTAAGAATATTTTAAAAGAGCAAAGTTTCAGGGACTGGAGTTGTAGCTTGGTGGTAGGGCACTTGCTTGGCATAAGCTAGGCCTGGGTTCAATCCCTGGCACAAAAAAAGAAAAAGGAAAGAAAGACAGGAAGCAAAAGTTCTTAATCACGATGAAGTCCAACTTATCAATTTTGTCTTATGGGTCACACTTTTGTGTTATATCTGACAAATCTCTAGCTAACCAGTTCGTAAGTTTTTTCCTGTATTTCCTTTTGAATTATTTGTATGGGTGTCACATTTACAATATTTTTGTAAACTTTTTATCAGATGTAAAACATGAAGCCTGGTGTGGTGCTGCATGCCTATATTCCCAGCACATAGAAGGCTGAAGAAGGAGGATCAGCGTGAGTTCAAGGCCAGCTTGTCCATAGTGAGTTCAAACCCAACAAACTACACAGCAAGATCCTGTCTCCAAAAAAAGATGAAAAACAGGAATCCAAGTTTTTTATGTATATATGGATATACAATTTTTCCACAGCATTTGTTGAAAATACACTCATTTTTCTACTAAATTGTCTTTACACCATTATCAAAGATTAGTTGAACACAGATGAGCAGGTCCCTGAATTATGTCCTTTTACACTGATCTCTTTGCTTTCTTTAGACTGTTGTCTCTAGTTTTAAGTCTTGAAGACAGACACTGTAAACCACATACTAATGTTCTTTTTCAAAGTTGTATTAGCTTCATAGTTACATGCAAACTGTAGTCTATTTAATGTGTACAGACCAAAAAATCCTGCTGAGATTTTGAGATGATGTTGAATCAACACATCACTTTGAGAATTTACATTTAACAGTATTGAGTCTTCTTATCCTTTACCATAGTACATTTATCTCCACTTATTTAATTCCTTTATTTCCCTGAGCAACACTGTTTACCCTTAACGTTCTATACATCTTTTGTGTGACTTATCACTAAGGATTTCCATTTTTATGATACTGTAAATGGTTTTTTTCTTAATCTCAATTTCTGGTTGTTTTATTGCTAGTATATAGAAATATAATTTTGCATATTGATCATATTTATTGAATCCTTGCAAACTCATTATTTCCAATGATAGGCTTTTTTATAGACTTAAAATTATCTACATAATGACCATGGTACCAGTATATGCAAATAAAGACTTTTACTTTCTCCTTTTCAACCTGGACATCTTTTTTATCTTGCTTTATGCAATGGCTAGAATTTGCAGTACAATGTTGAATGGCATTGCTGAGAGCACCATTAAGTATGATAGTACCTGTGGGATTTCAGTAGCTATCCTTTAATAGAATGAAGTTATCACCTATCTGTATTTTGTTTAGAATTTTTAATATATACATTGAATCTTTGCAAATACTTCTTTTATATCTATTGAGATGATTCAGTTTGTTAATATAATGAATTACATCAATTTTCAAATACTAAACCAACCTTGCATTCCTAGGATAAAACTTATTTGGTCATGATGGAGTATCCTTTTTCTATATTCCTGTATTAGACTTCAAAATTATTCAGAACTTCTACAGATATGCTTAAAGGGTGTATTGACTTGGAATTTTCTTTTCTTGCAATGTCTTTGTTTTGACATCAGAGTAATGCTGGACACAGAATAAATTTTAAAGAAGTCCCAGCTTTGATTTTCTGGAAATGTTTAGAATTGATATTCTTTGTTCCTTAAATATTTGGTAAAATTTGCAGTGCAGCTATTGGGCCTAGATTTTTCTTTGTGGGAAGTTTTAATTACAAATTCAACTTTTTTTTTTTTTTGGTACCAGGGATCGAATTCGGGACCTTGCACTTGCGAGGCAGGCTCCTGAACCACTGAGCTAAATCCCTGGCCCACACATTCAACTTTTAATAGATATGGGCCTAATCAAGTTATCTTATGATTGAGTGAGTTTAGTAGTTTGTATCTGTATTATGAATTTTTTAAAGTTCTTATTTTCCTGAACCCTCACCATTCCCACAAACAGGCCAAGAGCACCTTGTCCAGCATGCCCAACAATCAGGTCTCCAAGTGTGGTAAAATGGTCTCTGCCACAAGTTCCCCCTTTTTTCCCTACCCTGTGATCTAGTGATATGCCAAAAGCCCCAATGACTTATCTTGTGCCTTCTGTTTGTGTACTCTGTCCCCTCAGTAAGGACACCTGTACATGAGTTTGTGTTGGTCAGGGTTATCTAAAGGAATATAACCAATAGAATACACGTCATTACAAAAAGGGATTTATTAGACTGGTTTACAGGTTCAGAAGCTGGATAGTCCCACAATTGTCATCTGCACACTGGCCAGCCAGAGAACCCAGTAGCTATACAGTTCAAGAAGTTAGAAGCCTCAGAACAAGATGGACCAATGGTGCGACCCTCAAGGCTGAAGGCCTGCAAGCTTCCTGGAGATTCACTGATGTGAGTCCACTTTGAAAGACTGAAGAAGCTGGAGTTGGCTATTTCCAGGTAATGGCAGCAGCAAGAGACACACATGCTCAAGCAGAATCAAACTTGCAAGCACTAGCTGGTTTCCTCTTCCTGCTTTTGTTCCACCAGGCTCATATTGTATTGAATGATACCACTCATATTCAGGGAAGGTTTTCTGCCCTCAATTCGCTGGCCCACATGCCAGTCTTCTCTGGGAACACCTTACAGACACACCCTGTTACACGCAGAAGGGTGTTTTACTAATCTTCCAGGAGTCTTTTACCCAAGCAGGTTGACAGTCAAGAGTAATCACCAAACTCTTCACTTTCTCTGAGCTCACCGCCTGCTTCACTCAGCCTGCTCTCCTGGTACCTGCTCCCCCACATAGCACCATGTGATATGCCTTGTCTCCCTTCTCTAGGACATATAGCATAATAAATCCTTTAATTTCATCTATTTCTCTGTAATTTATGTGGCCATATCAGAATGACTCAAAGATCCCAGGAGGGGGACTTATTTATTATTTACAACTCCATGTTTTTCAAGAAATTTGTCCCTTTCATCTACATTATCAAAATAATTGGCATAAAATTATACTATTCCCCTAGTAGCCTTTTAATACCTGTAGAGCCTACAGTGCTGTCACCACTCTCATTCCTAACATTGGTAATTTGTGTCATTTCTCTCTCACTGATCAATCAGGCTACAGGTTTGTCAGTTTCATTGATTTCAAAACCAAAGCTTTAGTTTTATTAATTTTGTTGTTTTTATTTCAACTCACGCTGATTTTTTCTTATTCCTTATTTCCTATATACTTTCATTTTTATTTGCTCTTCTTTTTCTATCTCCATAAGGTAAATGGTGAGCTCACTGATTTAAGATATTTCTTCTTTACTAATGTAAAGCATTTTGTGCTATAAATTCCCTCTAGGTACTGCTGTAACTGCATCCCACAAATATTACTGTTTTCACACTCATTCAGTTAAAAATACTATTACCCTGTTAATTGTTTTCTTTGGCCCACAGTATTTAGACATGTGTTATATAATTGTCAAATATTTGGAGATCTTCCAGAGATCTTTGTTGTTGGTTTCTAATTTAATTTTGTGGTCTACAGCCATACCACTCTGAACGCACCTGATCTCATCTAATTTAATTTTGTGCTCAAGAGGACATACTTTATGATCTTAATCATCTTAAAAACCACTGAAACTTATCTTGTGATCTATGTGATCAGTCTTACTAAATGTTCCATTTGTATTAAAAATAGATATATTCTGTTACTGGCTTGAGTGCTCTATAAATGTCAATTAGATCAAGTTGATTAATAATGTTGTTCAAGTCTTCTATATCCATACAGACTTTATACTATGTGATCCATTGGTCAATAACACTGTCCTGCTCTATCTGAGAAGCCCTGGGACAAAAAGCAAAGGCTACCAGTATAGGTCCAGGGATTCTATCAGCTTCAAACTACTGTATGTCTTCTCCAATTATATGTATAGAGAGAGACTGCAGAAATAAACAAAGTGGAGGCAGACCCATTTTACCCATTGTGAGCTAGACTGGCTAAGACTCAATTTGTTACGGGGTTTCCATAAAATCTTATTGTAAATCGGGCGTGATGGTATATACTTGCAGCCCCAACTACTACTGTAAGGAGGCTAAGGTAGGTGGATTACTTGAGCCCTGGAGTTTGAAACTAACCTGGGAAATATAGCAAGAGCTTTGTCTAAAACAAAACAAATCACACACATGTGCACAAACTTTACTCTAACCAGTGGACCACAATGGTGTTTTCTATCCTTTGGAATCCATGTCAGTGAAGACTTGGTACTCATGGCTGAAAATTCTGAGTATTTCTCTTAATCCCCTGCATAGTTACCTTGATAACATGGTAAATGACTGCCTCTGTGAGAAAGGATCAAGGGATATTTATCAAATACATCTGAGGATATTCCTGAAAGAATCAGGGCTCTCTCTCCATCTTGAGCTATAGCTCTGAACTGCCTTGAATCTGGAAACCAGGTGAGAACTACAGTTTTCATTACCATGATGTCAGCCTTCTGCTTGCCAATTCTCAGGTTTATCAGAGAGGTGAGGTAAAGGCAGTTTCACAACTTTACACAACTTATCTTAATCAGCTGTCCTTCTATCTTGCACCTTGGAACATTATGAAGTTAAATTTATCCCAACTCATACTTTGGTGCCCATAAGTTAATTATGGGCCTCTGACAGTCAAGTTCCACAATTTGTCCTTCAAGCTTTCTGCATTCCAATCTATCTACATCTGTTGACACCACAGAATCCAGTATAATGGCATCATCTTTTATCAATTCTAGTTGTCTTCTCAAAGTTTCTTCTCAAAGTTTCTCGTATACTCTCAATAATTACATGTCTGATTGCCTTAGTTATGAGTATCATCTAGGTCTTCCCAGGGAAAATTCAGATGCTAGCTCCTCTGGTTTCAAACAACAAATCCATTCTAACATTCTCACATCCCTGAGCCTTCTGAACCATTCCTCAATACTATGCCAAATAATTTCTGGCATGTGCACTGTATCTTCAATACACCATCCTTGAAGTCTGTTAGGATCAACTCCAGACATCTGTGCCAGAGCTTGCTCAAATATCACTCTCTCCTATCAAGCTCTGCATTCTTCCCTCACCCTACTCATTGATCCAACACCCTCAAGAGCTACTCCCAGACATACTTCCTGGGTTCTAGTCAGTACACTTTGACCATAGTCTGCAGTTCAGAGTGTAATCTACCCTCCTCAAGAAAGGACTGTATTTCTCCCCTGGAGTATGCTGAGACCTAAACCTAGTAAACAGTTTGGAGTCAATGAGAAGTCACAGGGGTAGGTCTTAAGGAGGTCAAGTCACTTCATGACACAACTATCTCAGATAAAGCCTCTGCAAAATGTCAAGGCCAGGGCAGGCTGTGCTCCCTACCAAACTGGATAATGCTGTTTCCACTAGCCCAGAGGTTCTGGACAACCTAAGGGTTCAAGATTCTCAGGCTCCCCAACACAAATGTCCTCATCCTGTAATTGAGGGTTCCATTCTTTTTCTGTCAGACTTTGTTGGAGGAGACTATTGAAACTGTGCTTTCTATTTCCTTTGCAGCCTTGCTATCTTTACTACTAAATTTAGATCTGATCACCACAATCTGCCCTATATCTTTGGGAGATTAGATTTTCCTTAAAGGATGCTATTGAGAGACTATGGCTTTCAAAGCATGGCTGCCACTAAGTGGTTAACATAAGTTTATGTCATTTTCTTTGTACAAGGTTTCCAAAGCAGTTAACTGTAGCTAACCAGCCTTAAAATTCCCATTAGTCACATTCCACTCCAGTAACACAGCCACTGCATAACAGCTACAGCATAACCTAACACTCCAGATTCCACTTACATTTCATCCAAACCACTGCAGTAAGTGATCCAGTCACAGAATCCCATCCTGAGTGTATTATAAGGCCATTCTTGGTACTGAGTTTACCCCATACTCAAAAAACAAAAAAAAAACCTAAGACAAATGTTCACATATAGCTAAATCATTTTGGAAGTGATCTGAGGGAGCTAGAAGTAAGGATGAGGGAGTAAAAGAGAGAAAGCTAATATAAGAATATATTGTTGGGTTGCCCGCTTCTATGGGTGACTAGTGCTCAATCCCACAGGATTTTCTGAGGAGGTTTAATACATCTCAGAACTGCCTAGTCAATTCTGATGGAAGAGGGAGCATTTATATATTGGCTTCCATGTCTTTAATTTTTTTTTTCTGGTACCAGGAATCAAATTCAAGCCCTTTCGCTTACCAGGCAAGCATAGCACCACTGAGCTACATCCCCAAGCCCTAATTTTTTTAAATAACCTGAAAACATTTAAATTATAATAGGCTAAAAATACTGTACTTTAAAGGTTTGACTAATACAATATCACTTGTTAAGAAAGAGAAAAATGCACATATAAAGTGATAAATCATGAATTTTGTCAAAAATAATATAATTCACTTACTTCAATAAATTAAGAAAACATCCCAAAATACATACTTACACATTTTAAAAAGTAACAGAGAAAATAAACTCTATTATTACATTTAAATAAGCACAGAAAAAGATATATTTAGATGATGGCTTTGATTGTCCAAGAGACTTCATGAAGGCTTTGTAGTTGATGGCAATTGAGCTTTTCCTTTGTGCTTAGCAGCCTTTTCCATTTTTATCTAGAAATATAAAACATTTATTGATATAGTAATTTGCAAACCATTCTAAAGAAAACAATGTTGCCGCACAAGCACAAGGACCTGAGTTCGATCCCCGGTACCAAAAAAAAAAAAAAGAAAACAATGTTGCACATACCTTATTTGGATTCATGCCTTATTTACCACAGATGTACCACCATAGTATTTAAGCTACTAAATACTAAAGCCAGAATCTCATCATTAAAGGGACATAATTGCACATTGTTAAATGGTTTTAACTTTATATAAACATTTCAATAAAAAATAACATACAAATAAATATTGACTTAGAGAAGAGAATACATTAAATTGTCACTAAAAAACATTTTTTAAATGCTTACAAATCTAACCATACATCTATCCTATGCATATTCCCTGCAGAATTCAGAATACACCTAATTCAGCTGCATTCTCTCTGGAACATGGACTGCTTTAAGGATGCTTTCCTAGAATTCTGGTTTCTACATTCCAACTTTTTTTTCCTGAAGGTCTTAGCTTCCTCCATCACAGTTAAAGCAAAGAAGCACATATACCCTAAGCAGCAGCCTTATAACTTTTTAGACACATATAAACCTTTTCTCTGGGGTTAAAGACCCCAGAAAACACAAAGCCCACCTGCTTCTTGCTCACCACCCATCACATTTACACATACAAGTTCCCCAGGTGGCACCACTGCCTTAACCCTGCAAAAGAAGGGGACAGAAAATAAAGGGCACAGCACAGGGAGACAAGGCTTCCTACCTCTCAAGTGGCAGGAGAAATATTAAGAAACCAGGAAGGACCTAGTAAAACCAGTTTATCCAATCCTGTCAAATAGCAAGTCATAAATTCCCAATGATAAAATCAGATCAATCTAACCTGTGCTGCTTCCCCATTTTTTCCCTCTCTCTCCTCTTTAAGTTGGCTGGCAACCTCATTCAGAAGCCATGCACTCCTAGTACTCTCACAGGTCACCTGAAGCATCTCCAGTGAACACTCTACAGCAAAGATTATTAGTCTGGGAGTCAAATAAAAAAGTATTTGAATCCAACCTGTTCCATCTAGTAAGCACTTGCGCAAGTTATTTAACCAACAGTTTCCCATTTGAAAAAAAAGACACCATAATAGCTATTCTCGGGGTTGTTTTAAAGATCTAAGTAAGAAAAGATAAGAGAAAGAAAGACAGAGAAAGAGACAGACCTAAGCACTAAATAACTCAAGAAATGTCGGGCCTTTTCCTTTTTCATTTAAGGCCAACTGTTACATTTGCAGTAACTTTTTTTTTTTTTGGTACCAGGGATCCAACTCAGGACCTCGCGCTTGCCAGGCAAGTGCTGAGCCACTGAGCTAAATCCCTGGCCCTGCAGTAACATTTTTTAAAAAACAACAAATATGCTAAACAATAAGCAAAAGCCAAAGCAGTATTTGCTCATTCAAAACAGTACTTAACAGGGCCAGGGATTTAGCTCAGTGGCACCGTGCCTGCCTCACAAGCACAAGGTCCTGAGTTCAATCCCCGGTACCAAAAACAAAAAAAATGTTAACTTCAAAATAGTACTTAACAAATATAGCCATGTAGAGTCCTAAGGGCAAACATTACCTCCTTTTCCTTCTCCTACTCTCTATCTTTTAAATTTTTATTTCCTGGAATGAACAATGTGCCCTGCACTTAGTAGATCTTTGATACTTGTTTCCTTAGTAAAATTCTGCTTTCTTGGGTAAAAGAGACTAAGCATCACCACAACAGAAGAAAATAATTTGATCTGATATGTAAAAGAAGCAACTTTTCAATAACCTCTACAAGTAGCTGGTAAACCTTGTTACAACGAGGCTTCAATCACCAAAGTCAAATTACCCTAATCATAAGAGTCTTTCTCACACATGTTACCAATGATTGGCAAAGAACAGAAGCAAAAACCAGATACCCGCATAGCATAACTCTTCAGAGAGATCCTAAACCAGTGGAGGCAAACCTATGGCACTCGTGCCATTTCAGGCTGCTTGCTTTATCACTGAAGCCTCTAAAAGGTTTGCCATCACTGCCCTGAACCATCACAGAGCTTCCTAATTGTCCCTTTTCCCTCAATGGTCTTGGTGTAAAAGACAAGAACTAACAATGTGTATGGTTATCTGTCAGCTTAGAAGAAAACATTTAGGGTTTAGGCTTCTTAGTTTTTATACTTCATTAATTAGACAGGCTGTTGAGTTTATATAAACTGTCTCATAAATCCATAAATTACATGGGGTGGAGAGTTCTAAACTATATCTCGTAAGTCCATAAATTCCAGCTTTACTCATAATAAGCAATCTGGACAGGCCATGTATATCCCTTAAAACATTCACAAATAAGAACTCCCCCCATAACCTTCCCACAAACAAATACCACTACCATATTTTCAACAGTCAACACAAGCCAGGCCTCTGGGGGAGGGACAGGAGTTTCAAAACGCGAGAAAACAAATTAATCTGCCAATGTCTGTGTTCCAGAAATGAAGACTGATTTGATTATGAGCCTTATCCTTAATGGTGCTGCAAAAGCAGCCTTTTCTTTTATCACCCTGACCATTTCATCTTCTTCCCTGATGTCCTCCTAGAGAAGACATTTCTGCCCAAAATTCATATACTGAAACTTAATCACCAATCTAATTATTAGGAAGCAGGTCCCTAATATCTCCCAGAATTCGTATGCTGAAACTTAATCACCAATCTGATATGAGAAGGTGAGCCTTTGGGAGCTCTTTACATCTTGACAGCCAAGCCCTGATGAATGGGATGAGTGCTCTATAAAAGAGGCCCCAGTGCAGCCTTGTCTCTTCCATCATATGAGGGCACAGGGAGAAAGTGCCATCTATGAACTAGAAGGTAGCCCTCAGATTCTGCAGGCACCTTGATCTAAGACTACTCAGCCTCCAAAACTGTGATAATAATTTCTGTGTTTATAAGCCGCTCAGTTTGTGGGTTTTTTGTGGGGTTTTTTTGGTACCGGAGATGGAACTTGGGTCCTTGCACTTGCAAAGCAGGTGGCGGAACCACTGAGCTAAATCCCTGGCCCCAGTTTGTGGTATTTTGTTATGGCAACCCAAACAAAGATCTCCTTAGGCCAGAGCTTTCCAAAAGAATTTTCTGCAAAGAAGGAATGGTTTTATATTAGAGCTCTCCATTAAGGCAGCCACTAGCCATGTGTGGTTACTAAGCACTTCAAATCTGGCTAGTATGAGCAAGGGAATAAATTTTAAATTTTATTTTAGTTAAATTTATATTTATACAGTCACATATGGTGAATGACTATAGTACAAATATAGAAAGTTTATATCATTGCAAAAAATTCTAGTCAACCTCTGCTTTAACTTGCATCTAGGACTCTCCCCTCTACTCCAAATTTCTTCATTAGGAAAACCACACTAATTTTCTGTCTTCTCATTTCCTCCACTCTTAGGTGGCAAATTTATTTAATGTTCTTTTTCCACATCCTCAGCTACTCAATGAGCTCTTGTCTAAGAGGATACAACAAAAGTGACAGGAGTGTCTTTACTTTTGCAGGGTTTATTACTTTCAAGAGATAATAATATCCACAAGTATAAAATAATCCTAAAAAAAGCACTTTCAGCCATATGGCTGAAATACCATTCCCCATACCTTAAGCCACTATTCTTTCACCTAGCAAAAAACAAAACTAAAACTCTTAAATATGAATATTGCTATGAAACTTATCAAAAATATAAGTCAAGGGCTGGGGATTTAGCTCAGTGGTTCCAGCACCTGCCTTGCAAGCACAAGGTCCCAAGTTTGATCCCCAGTACCAAAAAATATATATATAAGTCAAAAAGTTTAAGTAGTTGACATCTATGAAAGCAAATATCGTGTGCTAATTTTTTTAAGTTTCTGTAAGTATTAAAAATTTATGTATAAGGTGCTTTATGAGGTGCTAATGGAAATACAAAGATAAATGAAATACTTTACTTAGAGAAATGATGAAACTCACCATTGTTAAGAAGCTATGAACACATTAAGGCTACAGCTGTTGAGCCCTGGAAATTGTTAAAATGTTTTTGTTTAGTGTTTCAGTCTGTCTTAAAAGCTGTAAGATAATTTTAACTCGAGTCTGGATATACCAAAAAGCCTCTAAAAAGAAACGGTGTATGTTAAGGATTTAAAATATATCAATTTTCATTTGACAGTATTTTTAGTTAGAATACATAGTTTTTAATTGATCCATAATAATTGTGTGTATTTACAATGTACGGTGTGGTATTTCAATACATGTATATACTGTGTAATGATCATATTAGGGTAATTGGAGTATCTATCACCTCAAACATTTATCATTTCTTTATGTTGGGAATGTTCAAAATCCTACTAGTTATTTTGAAGTATATAATTAATTGTTATTAATCATAGTTACCCTGCTGGGCTATAAAACATTAGAAGTTACTCCTTCTACCCAAACACACCCCTGAACTCATTGACCAGCCTCTTACTATCCCCTCTATCCCTGACAATTACATATTTTTAAATTAAAAAGATACCTGTATAAAAAAAATAATTCAAGATACATAAAGTTTATATGGATCCTGATTACCGATTTTTTTTTTTGGTACTGGAACTCAAACTCAGGACCTTGCACTTGCAAGGCAGGCAGCAGAACCACTGAGCTAAATCCCTGACCCTACATATTGTTTTTAACTGATGCTCCATGTTCAATGTATAATCATTCTTCAGTGTTGTACTCGCTTCAGCAGCACATATACTAAAATTCTTCAGTGTCTTTATTACAAGTACATGCTTAACACAAGTCAACTTCCTAAAAACCTACCCTGTCCTGGTATCGTCTTCCAAAGAAAGCCGTATCATCCTCTTCTGGTCTCCTTAAGGAAGAAACTTGGGTACTTGTACCTGCTAACATGAAAAAATCTAATTAATATATTTATATCATTACATAGGTCCATGAAATTTTTTTTAAAACACAAAAGTTTCTTCCTGCCAAATGATAATGTTTTATTTTTCAGCTAGAAATAGCCTAAATAGCCCAAATACCTAATTCTTAGAAAGAATAGCACCACAAGACAAAAAGTAATTTTCAGTGGCAAACATTCTCCAAATATTCGCCTGGCTAATATTAAATAATATAGTACTTTGTAGATATTCCATATAAGAGTACACTTAGATTTGTCCAACTACTTTTTACATGTTACAACTAGAAATCCATGTTACGCTTTATGAGATAATGCATGGCAGTATGCATTATGATGACTTTACTGAGGCTTTATAACCAGAATAATATAAGCCGCTCTGAAGTTTTCAAAATTAAAATAATCTAAGCCATCATTCATAGTATTCACTTTGTAAAATTAATCAAGCACCTGTTTATATGCTGAAAGGAATTTTAAATTGCTTCAGTAGGAAAATCTAGTTTTCTTTGCAGGTACTCTAAGAACCTTCAAAGAAAATATTACCTTCAATATAGGTGCATGTCTTTACTGGGTCCTTTCATTTCCAAAACAGAATAGCAACTAGAATACCCATTTTTCTAGTTTCTAAAACATATAATTTCATCTTCAACAAGTCACACAAAAGTATCTAACCCCAGTCACCACAAAATACAACCATACTGTCAACTATATTTAAGAAAAGCCTTGTTGAGAAAAATAAAATAAAAAAGATTACTTAGGGGCCAGGGGTTTAGTTCAGTGGTTCTGGCGCCTGCCTCGCAAGCGCAAGGTCCCAAGTTTGATCCCCAGTCCCAAAAAAAAAAGCTTACTTAGACTAGGCAAGGAATATCCATACCTCTGAAAACTCTGAGTCTATCCCTGGAAGAGGCTGGACCATTTGACCTAAGCCTCTTCCAAATTCACCTTCAGAGCTTCATTTTAATAGAATATTATCATTCTTACTACAGGTAGCTGTAGAAAGCAATCAACCATATTCTGTATTTGCTGAAAAAGACCCCTTGAGGACCTTGACCACTGCATCACATAGGATCACTATACAGGCTTCTTTAAATTCATTGTTGTGTCAAGCATGGTGGCACACACCTGTAATCCAAGCACTTTGGGAGGCTGTGGCAGGAGGACTGCAAGTTTGAGCCCATGCTGGACAGCTTAGCCTATCTCAAAATAAAAAGGGCTAGGGATGTAGCTCAGTGCAAAGGCCCTGAGTCCAATTCCTACTTACAATAAATAAATAAATAAATACATAAATAGGTGTTGTAACATTCATTCACACTAAGGAACTAATGCTTCTTCCTTTCTAATAAAGAAAAGTATTTAACTGACAGCAAATGCCCCTGTATCTTGGGTTCCACTACACACAGTTAAAACTGAGGTTTAATGCAACAATTATATCAGTCTCAAGAACAATTGTGTTCTTTTCCTTGTTTTCATTTTTTTACTTCAGTGTGTATTTAATCATTCCTTCACTGAATGCTGTTTTCGTAAGCAGCCTTAACATGCTTTGTAGAGAATGTCGGGATCCATGAAAATACAAAATTTAATATTTAAAATATTAAATACCTAATAAACCATACAATTTCAGGAGCCAGGGATTTAGCTCAGTGATTCTGCCACCTCGCAAACACAAGGTCCCAAGTTTGATCCCTGGTACCAAAAAAAAAAAGAAAAAAACATACAATTTCCATCTTCAAGGCCTGGAATGTAGTTCAGTGGCAGAGAACGTGCCTGGCATGTACGAGGCCCTGGATTTGATCCCCAACATTAAAGAAAAAAAACCCTTCAATTTCCATCCTCCATGCTTTTGTTCCTTTTTTAATAAAAGAAATACAAATTACTACTGCTTAAAATTAATTCTACTTGCTTTTAATTTATAAATGATGAAAACTCTCCTAACCTGTGATCATCTCCGGATTACATCCCCTAGAGAGAACTCCAAAGATCAAAGCAGTTAGTCCACTAGAGCAGCCTCTTATTCAAACACCAGAGCAACACATACCAGAATAAAGTTTAAATCTTCAAAATTCAGTATTATCAGAATCCTTTTAATTTTCATATTTAGCTGTTTTTTCTCAATACAAAATGAAGTTCCTTGCTTTTTCACAGTGCCTGACCAATATAAAAGTAACTCAAAGTCAAATTATAATAATAGAAAAAAGTGAGAAGCCTAGAAAATAAATCAAAAGCCCTACTTTCTTACTACCTCCAAAAATATTTTTCATTCTAATTTCAATACCATCTGTCAGTGTTTCTGGAGATGTAGATGATGTTTGAAATGCTTTTAGAAATGGGTGATCCATGGACATAACTGGAGAGTCTAAAGCTTCAACTGAAGGTGCACCTAAGATATAGAGAATGAAAAATTAATCTTGATTTATAAGCATATAAACAAGTTATTATTTCTAATATGAAATAGCTTAGACTCTCAGCAGACTCTTGAAAAATACTTTCTAAATTTTTCACCAGGTGCAGTGATACACACCTAAAACCCCAGCTGCTTGGGAGGCTGAAGAAGGAGGAACAGTGTACCCAGGAAAGACCAAATTAGCTAAGAGAGTGAGACCCATCTCAAAACCAGAGGTTAAAAAAGTAATTTTTATTTAAACTTTTACCTGGCACATAAAAGCAAATGGCTAAAAAAAAGTATCTTTTCATTTCTTAGACCTTTCTCAGAGGAAAAAAAACATTATGTGCTGACACAGCTGTGTCAGCAAAGGAATACTAAACCCTAATATAGTAGCAAAACATGATCTAAAGCAAGACAATCACAATAAGGAACTTCTGGTTAACTAAGATAAAATACAGAAGTGTATTTTTAATCTAATCCTTACTGAGAAGACATCTAAAAGCAAAGTATGAAAAATAATGAAGAAAGCTCCTCTTCAGTGGAGGAAACAACCACTATCCCAAACCACAAAGAGCAACCACACAATGTGTTAACCCTCATGGACCAAAGGAAGGAAGCTGCAGAGGAAATGTAAAACTGTTCTTTCTCACAAAGCACCACTTCCCCAACACCATGGGTAGAGAGCAGGAAATGAACTTTTAGTCCTCACTGGTTTAAAAGCTAATCCTGTAGACTGGCATGGTGGTACATGCCAGTGCTCGGGAGGCTGAGGCAGAAGGATCACCACGAGTTCGAGGCCAGCCTGGGCCACATAGTGAGTCCAAGGACAGCCTGAACTACATAGTGAGTCTCTGTCTCAAAAAACCAAAAATACTAGCATCCTTGACCAATAAATAAATAAATATTAGAAAATTGAAAAGTTAATCTTGTAATGTGAACAGTATGTGACAATTGTTCAGTCTTTCCAATTCCTTCCCCCTTCCTATCCCCAGCCACTGTCTCATGTGGCAGTGAGACTATAAGGAGGGGCTCAGGGCCTTCCAGGTCCTTGTGCTGTCCTCTGGTTGCTGCCATGTGTTACTGGTCTTCAATGCCCCAGGCGGCCTAACTTGTAATCTGGTCTCTCAGCTTGACAGGGCCCAGTGGCCTCACACTTGCTCTCACTAGAACTACAGACCCCCACGATGCTGGCTACTTCTACTGAATCTCCCTATCTGGGGACCCACTGTCAGCTCAGCTCTGTGGTCCTCTTTTCCCCACTATCTCACAGCTCGGATGCCTGCCAAGTACTCCCTGAGAGGTGGGAATGATAGACTCAGTCAGTATTAAATAGGAATCAAATCCCAGCCAGAGGGTGCCTCTCTCTAAGAACCTGCAAGGCTAATAGAGCGGAAGCCCCTCTGCCCCTAGGCTCCCCTACACCTGATATGAGGACAAAAATATCTTATATCTCCTCGCCTGGCTCTCACCTTTCCTCATCTCTCCTCATCCCTCAGGGGCCATCTTTATATATGAAGACACTTGGGTAATAAAATACTAGAAATCCCAAAAACTAAGATGCCAGCTATTATTTAGCAATGTGCTGAAACTACTATTAGTTAAATTAATCAAGAGTAAGAAGAGTCATAAATATTAGAAAGGAAGTGGCTAATTATTTGCCAAATAAATTAAAAACTTATTAAAATCCCTTAAGATAAGTAATAAGACTGGCAGCAACAGCAGAAAACATTTGCTTCTTTATAAACAAGTAACAATCAGAAACATAATAGAAGAAAAAATTAATGTATGATAAAAAAGATTAAATACCTAGAAATAAACTTAAGAATTGTGCACCATTTCTAAGGAAATAACTTCAGAAATCCACTTAGCTGCACAGGAAAAGACAAATGAAGAGACAATATTTTAAAATACCAACTCTTTCTACAATGATCTACACTTTCAATATGATCCCAGTTAAAATAATATAATGTTTTGTAGTGTCTCAAAATTATGGCAAAGTTCTGAATTACAAGGTAAAAACAAGTTAGGAAAATTCAGCAGTCATAATATGAAGTCATAAATTAATTTATTCACTATAAACCTACAATAATGAAAACAAAACAGTAGTTATACAGAAATAGACAACAATGAGGCAGACTAAGGAGCCCATAGCAATGTCTGGGTTGAATCCAACTCTGGTAGTTGAACACAGAACAACTGTTTTACTTTTCAGGGCTGAGTCTCTTCATTTGTAAAATAATAATAATAATCTGACTTTTAGTTGTTGGGAGGATTAAATTAGGTAATATACATGAAGTAGTTAGAATAACTCCTAGCAGTACCAAACTGCAATGATGATGATGGCCATCATCATGATTTTTGCACTTGTATTTGGGATTTCTAAGTCTATTTATTACATGAACCTAATACAATCATGGACTCATTAACACTGCAAAAGAATTTACTTATGGAATTTAACAAGCTAGTTGTGTAATTATCTAGAAGAAAAAAATATATAAAATATGACAATCTTGAAAAATGAACACACACAAGGTCCCGAGTTCAATCCCCAGTACCAAAAAAAAAAAAAGAAAGAAAAATGAACACAAACAGGAAATACCAAATATCAAAACATAATATTAAGCTGTAATAATTAAAAATATGTAATATTTACCCAGGACAATGGGGAAATAGCACAAAATAACAAATACATAGACTCTGATAGGTTCCAATTATTAGGAAAAGAATAGTATTTGGATAACTGCCATTAATTTGGACAATAATTGAAGTTAGACATACCTACTTTGCACTTAACAAAAACTAAATTCACAGTACATGAAAAAGCTAAACACAAAAAAATTGCAAGTACTGAAGATAAAATGAAGAAAAACATTTATAAAATTAGAGTAAGAAAATATGAAATGGGGAAGATGTCTTGCTTACTATTCTTTCGTTGCTGAGACAAAAATACCAGAGACCCAAAGTTAAAGGAGGAAAGGTTTAGTTTGGCTCACAGTTTGTAAAGGTTTCAGTCTATAATCAGCTGACTCCAAGGCAAGCTGGCACGGCAGAGGGGCATCATAGAGGAGAAACAGTCCATGGCAGGCAGAAGACAGCAAAAGCAAGCAAGTGACAAACTACAAGTAACTAAACAGCAAGCCTCTTTCTGTCCTTTATATTGTATCCAGGCTACCTGCCCTAGGACAGGAAGTACTCACACCCTTAATCCTAGCATTGCCCATGAATTGATCACACACTCTAGATCCAGCCACCTCTGAAAAAGCCCTACCTATGACCACTTGAGACTTTAGGGAGGACATCTAGACACAAGCCATAACAGAGGACCTGTGTTCAAAATATAAAAACTGTTTTTAAAAAATAGTTTTTAAACATTAAAAGACAAGTGACAGATGGGGGAAAATATCTTCAAAAAAAAGATTAAAATATTAGTATACAGAATATATAAAAGACTTTGCATAAGCCAAATAGAATAAAAGAAAACAGAAAGATGAGTGAAGGATTTGAACAGGCAGTTCACATAAAGTGAAATGGCCAATAAATACAAAATGATGTTCATCTCATTAATAACTACAGAAATCAAACCGAAGCAATAACAATTTCTCACATCAGGTTGGCAAAGAGAAAGTCAAGGATTTTAATAATATCAAGGATTAGTCTCAATGAGGGGAAATAGGTGAATTAAAATCACCCCTGGGAGAATTAAAAACAAATCCAGTATTTTTAAAGGACAATTTAGCAGACTGCATTAAAATGTTACATGTGCATACACTTTACCTCAACCATTAACTCTTATACCTCAACCCTATAACTGCTGAACAAAGTTATGCAAGGACACATGATAAAGTTCAAAGATTTTTATTGGAAAGGTCAGCTGTGATGGCAAAAAAGATGAAAACCTAAATATCAAGAACAAGGCTATGGTTAAACCGATAACTATAGTATGGAATACTGTACAGCAATTAAAAAGAATGAAATAGATTCATGTTGTGTGTCCTGACATAATAATAGGCCTTTAATATTTTTCTAATTAAAAAAAAGTAAAGCTGGGCATGGTGGCACATGCCTGTAATCCCAGCACCTGGGAGGCTGAGGCAGGAGGATTACCAATTCAAGGCTACCCTGGGCTACATAGCAAGACCTTGTCTCAGAATAAATAAATAAATAAATACATAAATGCATAGCTAGCTAGCTAGCTGGATGTGGTACACACCTGTAATCCTAGTACTCTGGGAGGCTAAGCCAGGAAGATTTCAAATGTGAGCCCAGCCTGGACAACTTAGCAAGAACCTGTGTCAAAAATTAAAGGGGGAGGGGGACTAGGAATGTAACTCAATGTCAAGGCCTTGGGTTCAATTCCAGTATCACCAAAAACAAACTAAAGAAGTAAACAGTCAAAAAAATGTATGTTAAAGAGAAAAATAAATTGATTGCAGCAAATTACCCTCTGGAAAAGACTAGGGTAAAGAGAAGTGTTCAACTGGCCTTTGTACTCCATTTCTATCGTTTGAATTTTTTTAACAAGAAAATGTACTTATATTTATGTAATTTTTAATAAAAGAAACAATACACCTCTGTTGTTAAAATCCCCACACATCAAGGTGTTTAAAGTAGAATATATTCAGTTTCCCAGTCATATTCAACTCTCAGAAGGATACAGCTGCTTTCAACAGTTTGGGATATACCAAACTTTCCCCTGTATTATTTAAAATCTAAATATATATAAAACCAAAAACATTGAAACTACTGGAAGACAACCCAAGGAAAACACTTGAAGTCATAGGCACAGGCAAAGATTTCCTTAACAGGATTCCAATACCACAGGAAATAATATCAACAATCAACAAATGGGACTATCTCAAATTAAAGTTTCTGCATGGCAAAGGAAACAACAGAGTGAAGAGACAACCCACTACATGGAAGAAAATCTTTGCTAGTTACTCTCCTGATACAGGACTAACATCTAGAAGATGTAATGATCTTTAAAAAATTAACACCCATAGAAGAGGAACAAGGGAGGAGAGAGGGAGAAAGGAAGAAAGGGATAAGAAAAAAAGTGAAAATAGAAGGAAAAAATGGAAACAAAGCTTCTGTACATAGGGAGGGAGGCGGGGGGGCGTGAGATAAAATAAAATAAGTTTATTTTTTTAAAAATTAACTTCCATAAAATAATAAACCCAAAAAAAGTGAGCAAATAAACAAAATAAATACTTCTCAAAAGAAGTTCAAATGGACAAAAAGTGTATGAAAAAATGTTCAACATCTCTAGCCATCAGAGAAATGCAAATTAAAACCACCCTGAGATTCCATCTCACCTCAGTCAGGATAACTACCATCAAGAATACAAAAAATGGGATGGGGATTTAGCTCAGTGGTGCCGCCGACTGTCGAAAGCTCAAGGTCCCGAGTTCGATCCCCAGTACCATAAAAAAAAAAAAAAAACAAGGACTAAGAATACTAAGAATACAAAAAACGACAAATGCTGGTGAGGATGCAGGAAAAAGATACCCTCTTACATTGTTGGTGGGAATGTAAACTTCTAAGATGAGGAAGGGGACATTCAGAAGGGAACAGAAGAGAAACAGTGATATAATGGAACTGAAATTGATTAAATATGTTTTGTTGGGCTGGGGATTTAGCTCAGTGGTTCCGCTGCCTGCCTCGCAAGCACAAGGACCCGACTTCAATCCCTGGTACCAAGAAAAAAAAAAAAAAAATATATATATATATATATATATATGTTTTATTTGTTAGTACTGGGGACTGAGCCTAGGGTCTTCACTGAACTATATCCCCAGCCATCTTTTAGTTTTTAAATTGCCCAAACTGGGCTTAAACTTGTGATTGTCCTGCCTTAGCCTCTCAGAGTGCTGGGATTACAGGCATGTGCCACCATGTCTGGCTATGTTAAATGTATATACCAATTTCCCAAAGTAAACCCCATCATCATGTAATATTAACATGCACTAATGAAATTTTTTTAAATGTATGCAAGAAGATATATGTATGTGCATGTGGAAATGTGTGTGTGTACAGTCAAATTTTTTATGGATGTATTTACATGTATACACATGAACATATATATATATATATATACACATAAGCACATGTATGTACGTTTCCAAAAAAGTTATTATAGTAAAAGTTATACACAACAGGATAACAGTTAAACTGTGACGTCAAACAAAGAAATATTATTTGGCTATTACAAACAATGGGAGTGTGGATTAGTATTTGGGTACAAAATAATGGAGTAGAAATGATCTATTTTTTTTGCTTCTAAATTTTCCATAATGACAATATATTGTATAGTGGCAATGAGATCCTTTCAAGTAAGGGAATACTTTTTGAAAAAAATGTGATGAATATAAAAATGCTAAACAAAAACAAAGCTTCACTACTCTTAGAACACGTAATAAAAGCCATGTGATAAGCTCACATTTTACACATCCTCACTTACCGACCCCACTGCCGTCCAATCGCATGTAGCCCTCAGCCAGGGAGCTGAAACCAGTAAGCCCTCCCATCGCTGCATAAGAAACATCTTGTCCCACTGGTTTTCCCTGAGCCAGTCTTTCTTGCTTTGTTTCCACCACGGTATCATGGGCATGTGCAGACTGACCACAAGCACAAGTGAAGCAGCTATGGAAGCCTGAACACTTGGAACCTGAGTAAGATGTAAAGGAAGTTAAAAATTTTTAAGTATAGGTACTAAACAAAGTACCTATCAAACAAAAAATTTTATCTGGCTATTACAAACAATGGGGATGAGGCCTGGGATTTGAGTACAAACACTGGAGTGGTAATGATCTTTTCCTCTGCTTTCTAAATTGCCCATAATGATATATTGTATTGTGACAATAAATGCGACCCTAAAGACATTTAGTTTGACCAAAGACAGCTGAACCTAGAACCTCTGATCCCAGATCCTGACCTCCCTCCCAGACACTGCTCTTACTTCTAAAAGATGGTAAAGTAGTAAGAAGGTATGTAGAAGGGGATAAAAATGTTATAGAAAAACCATGAGAGGCTATAAGAAACTGGGTTAGCCAGGCATGGTGGCACATGCCTGTAATCCTAGCACTCGGGAGGCTGATGCAGGAGGACGGTCATGAGTTCAAGGCCAGCCTGGGCTACAGAGTGAGTTTAAATTCAGCCTGAACTACAAAGTGAGACCCTGTCTCAAAAAAAGAAAAAGATTCTGGGTTAAACACTACAGTATCAGGAAATGCAGGCTCTGTCCTTAAACACTGAGTTAAAAGCAAGTAAGAAGGATCTAGCCCAGTGGCCAGAACAAGTAAAGAGAATATGGAAATCTCCCTGTAGATTTATTCCTCATAAAACCATATTAGAAGACCAACATATAGACCCAAAAAGGTAAATATTGATGCATGCTACAACATGTATGATTCATAAACACATTATGCTCAGTGAAAGAAGCCAGTCACACAAAAAAACCCACATATTCTATGATTCCATTTACATAAAATATCCAGAATAGGCAAATCAATAGAAAGCGGATTAGCTGGGCATGGTGAACCACACCTGTAATCCCAACATTCAGGAGGCTGAGTCAGGAGGATCACTGTGAGCTTGAGGCCAGCCTAGGCTACACAGTGAATACAAGACAGCCTGAACTACATATATCAAGATTCTGACTCAAATAGCCAAAAAAAAGAAAAAAGAAACAAATTAGTGGTTGTTCAGGGCTGGTAGGAGGGAATAAGAAATAACTTCTAGAGGGCTAGGGATTTAGCTCAATGGTTCTGCTGCCTGCCTTGCAAGCATAGCATCCCCCCAAAAGAGAAAGAAAGAACTTCTAGAGGTGGGAGTAGAGGTCAGTGATTTAGCACCTGTCTCCCATGTTCAAGGCACTGGGTTCAATCCCCACCACCATGAAACAATTCTGCAGCAGTGCCCCATTGCCCTGCCTTGCCAAGTGACCACTCTATAGTTCAGACTGGCTTTGAACTCACTATGTAGTCCAGGCTGGCCTCGAACTTTCAGCCTCTTGAGTGCTGGAATTACAGGCCTGTGCCACTACGCCTGGCAAAACCTCCATTCCTTTTATGTTTTTGTGACTGACTCTGATTTTACTGAGTCCCAGCCTCAGTGCCAAGCCCTTTAGAAAAATTTTTCTCATTTAATATTCACAACTCTGAGAGGCATTACTGGTATTATTTTTACATTAACAGCTTAGGCTGGGACTTGTTAGAATTAGTTGGAATTCCATTTTTGGTCTCTTTAGCATCAAAGCAAGTTTTCGCAATTCCAACATAATGCTGCACCCATGCTGCCTCCTTGCAAACTTGTTATTAAACACTGTGACAATGTGTGATGGAAGTGTAACTTACAAACTTAAAAACAAGTTCCTGTGCTGATAGTTTTATATTGGATCATGTCTTAGACAGTTTAAAACAGGCTTTCTCTACCTTGGCACTTTTGCCATTTGCAAACAGGTAATTCTTTGCTGTGGGGAGAACTTTCCTCTGCATCCTGTGTAGGATGTTTTGCAGCATGCCTGGCCTCTGCCTGATGGATTACAGTCATACCGCCAACCCTAGTTTTAACACCCAAAAATGTTTCTAGATGCTGCCGGAGGTCTCCCCAAGGACAGAATCACCCACCTCCAATTGATAACCACAAATGTATTATTATGAAAATCACACCCTTTTACACATTTTTAAAAATACAATATAGAGTATTTAAAAGTCTTAATGCTTTCAAAATAAACATAACTTTTAACTGACAGTTCATGTCAGTTACTTAGTCTAGATTAGGTTTGGACAGCCTCTCCAGAAAGTGGTTAAATTCCTTTGAACGCTTTGTATGCCATTTTGGTAACTATTGTACCATTGACATTTTAGTAAGTACTGGGTGAAATGGTATTCTAAGTTCATACATAACCTGATAGTGCTTATGTTATTAGTTCAACCATATTAATTGAAATTCATTGTGATGTAATTCTTTGTCTTCAAACATCTCAGAACACAATTTCAATATTAAAATTGTATGCTTTTTTATAAATAGTATGGTAGTAAATTATATCTCAATAAAGTTTGCACTAAATTTTAAAAATCTATTAGTTAAATTATTTGAATTACATGACATTGGAGTTTATGATCATCAAGCATACTATAACTCTGAGTATCAAATGAATTTTGCTTACTTGTTTAATACCCAATTGTGAAGCTGAATAAACTGATACAAAGATACAATAAATATTCAATGAAGAAATTAAAACTTTCTGCATTTGTATAATAATATATATGACTTACATGTGTTACATGCAAAGCCAGATGCGGCACTATGCTGGTCTGCAAAGTGTTTGCACCTGCAGCGAATGGGCTGGGCACCATTCAGAGGGACATAATGGTAAGCCCTGCATGGGCAGCCAGTCACACGGCAAGGCAGGGCAATGGGGCGCTGCTGCGGAATCGTTTCAAAGTCAGTTTTATGTTGTTTATACCTAAAAGAGTGGGGAGAATAAGAAATATAACACAATGTGGTATTACCGAAAATCACAATTTCTATTCCATCAAATGCAAACATGATCTACTAAGATGAAAATAAACTCCCCTACAGGCAGCATTTCTGTCTACTTTGTTCAGAAGGAATCTTCACTGGTTTTTTATTTTTGCCTATTTAAGAAGTTTCACAACAGTACAGAGAAATATAATTCCCTTAAAATACTTGTCATTACAGACTCTCATATGGATGCATATCCTAAGTATGAAAAAATTATGTGCAAAAATCATTTTTATTAAACTGCATTACTTAAATTTATTTTCATGGTTTGCCATTTAAAATTGGAGCTCAATAAACATGTGTAAATGTAATTCATTATAATGTAATTTAATTTTCAACTTTTTTTAGGTAGTCAGGTGAAATACAGGGGTGTTCTACCAGTAAGGTACCTCCTCAGCCCTTTTTATTTTATTTTGGGACAGAGTCTCAATAACTTGCTCAGGGTGGCCTGGAACTTTCAATCCTCCTGCCTCAGCCTCTTGAGTAGCTAGGATAACAGATAGACGCCACTGTGCCTGGCTTTATTGTTAACTTGTGACTTTAAACTAAACTATCAATATCTTTAAAGGCCAAGTTCTATGAAAACATTGTAAATAATCAACAGGTCACTTGCTTCCTTCTCATAATGTGCTACTCAATAAAATAATACTAATTTTTTACTCTTAACACTGACCTAAGATATATGGGGGTTTTTTTTAATTTCTTTTTTTTTGGTACCGGGGATCGAACTCGGGTCCTTCCGCTTGCGAAGCAGGCAGCAAAACCACTGAGCTAGATCCCCAGCCCCCTAAGATATATGTTAAACTAACAAGGACATACCAGTTTTCACTTAGCAAAAAGTTTCTTTAAACTACTTAATTTGTGATTATGTAATTTACAAAAGTTCTCTTAAACTGTATGTAATTTATAATTATGTAATTCACAATTATATACAGTGGCTGCAAACTCTTATAAAAAGAACCGCTTCTATTTAATATGCTTCAGGAAACTTTAAATAGTCCATCCTTTAACACAGAAAGTTTATTCTAGAATACATAGCCTTAGAAAATAATTCCATTTATACACACACACACACACACACACACACACACGGGAATGAGTAAATTGCTACAAGAAAGTTTTCAAGTTTGTTAGGAATAAAACTCGTTTTCAAATAAAAACTTTCACATAATCATAATACTGCATATAAAATAGATAAAAGCAGAATTGGAGTTTGGTCTTCCTCTCCCTAACCTGCCCTTCCACCTAGCGCAACCCTAAGTCTTTGCTTACACATCCAGGGAACACAAGATGAACAGCACTAGACCAGCTAGAGTATCAAGTGGGTACTGAAAACTTTGTTTAAGATTACTACATAACAGGGGGCCAGGGATTTAGCTCAGTGGTGCCACCACCTGCCTCGCAAATGCAAGGTCCCAAGTTCAATCACCGGTACCAAAAAAAAAAGATTACTACATAACAACATGGAAACATATTTCTGTGACTGCCACGAAAAAGCAGCTCAAGATTTTATACATGCACAAAACTAACAACTAAATGAACTCTACAAAGAAAAAATTATACAGATAAAGTATTAATAGCAGCTGGCTTTGGGCAGTCAATGTTTTACTTTTCTATTTATTCCCCCATTTTCCTTAATAATTATATATCATTTTTTTAATTCATTATGTTTATTGCTACATTTTAGGTATACAATATGATGACATTCACCATTGGGAATTTGTACCTTTGCACGATGTATCTTGGTTTATTTTTTTCCCCATTTCCCTGCCCTCCCTTCAGCCCTTCCACCCTTCCCTATTTACAAAGACTTTGTTTCCATTTTTTTCTTTTCTCATATTTATTCCTTTTCCTTCTTTCCTTTCCCCTACTGTTCCCACTTCCTGTTCCCCTTTGGACCTTTTCTTCCTATTTCAAATTATCTATCATACATTTTACAGCCCAGTTGCCCTCAACTGGAGATTGGATAAAGATGTGGTTTTTTTTAAAAAATGGAATACTACTTAGCCATAAAGAATGAGAAATTAGCAACATTTATAGCTAAATGGATGCACATTGAGGCCATACTCTTAAGTGAAATAAACAGGACACATAGGTGTAAATACCAAATAGTTTCTCTGGTGTGAGAAAATGAAAGTGTAAATAAGGATCATAATACCACTTTTTTCTGTACTAAGGCTTGAACCCAGGGCCTTTGCACTGAGCTACCTCCCCAGCTTCCCCCCTTCTTTTTTTATTTTGAGACAGGGTCTCACTAAATCACTAAGTTGTCCAGGATAGTTCAATATTGCAATCCTCCTGCCTCCCACATACCATTTTTGTTTTTTGTTTTTTATTTATTTTTTTGGTACCTGGGATCGAACTTGGGACCTTGTGCTTTTGAGGCAGGTGGCAGAACCACTGAACTAAATCCCCGGCCCCTCACATATCATTTTTATAACAGGAAAAAAAATAGTTTACATAGAGATCTCATGAGTGACAAGTACTACAGAAAAATTTCTCTATCAAAGGTGAATCAAGTTTTTGAGAGCCAATTCCATGCTACAAAAATTAAACATTGATAAGTGCCAGTTTGGCATTAAATTCTTCTAAAAATAAATTATAAAGATATTACACATTTTCCAAACATTTCTTCAGTTCTGAGAGATAGCAACACCCCCCTCATTCCTCCACAGTGTTACTAGTTGAAGTTGCTAAGTAAGTTTAATTTAGAGTCAGTCTATGTACGATATTACTCATCCTAGTAACTGCCTAACACCTGGTAAACTGCAACTCTATAAATAGCAACTTCAAAGAGACTCTCATGAATCTACCCTTCAATGGTTTCCTTAGAATAGAAAGTTAAGAGTTGTTGCCTGAAAACATGTAACAGGTTCAGTGATTTTTCTGTGAAGCAGTTTGGTCATTTGTCGGGGAGGGGTTAAGGAGGATTGAACTCAGGACCTTGCTCTTGCCAGGCAGGCGAGGAACCACTGAGCTAAATCCCCGACCCTAATCATTTTGCTCTTTACAACAGTAAGACAGTAGTAAAATTAGAAGTAGGCCATGCACTCAGCAAAATGCAAACCTCAGATACAGGTGACACATGTCAATGACTAAAGCCTCATGTAATTACCCCCATGAAAATCCCCTCATGGGATTTTCTTGGGACATAACCACTCGTCATTAAAAGCCATGTGCTTGAGTTTTTGTTTGTTTAAAGAAATGACTGGCACAGCGGTTTCTTGAGATGAGAAGGTTGATTTAGTAAATTTGAGGAGAAATGGGTCTATTTGTAGATGGGTATCATGACCAGTGTGGGTCAATTCAAGCAACTATAAACCAGTTCTCAAAAACCCAACCATCCATCCTTTACCTTGTTCAATGGTAGATGCCTGCTTCCCAAATCAACTGAAAGATCCCTCAGCAAAGCCATGGGGGCACCAATATCTTTTTTTACCAATGGCAAGAGAAAAATGGCTGAAAACAATAGACTTTATGGGTGGTTATACTATGATATGACAAAGAAAGAGCAATTTTTTTTCTTTTTTTTTTTGGTTTTTTGAGACAGTGACTTGCTATGTAGCTCAGCCTGTCCTCAAACTCTTAAAGCTCCTGTCTTGGCCTCCTAAGTGCTAGGATTACAGGCGTGCACCACTACTGCCTGGCAAAATATTTTAATTATAACTTTTTAAAACTTTAGATATTTTTACTATATTGTATAAATGTCTGCTTTTAAATGTTTCTTAATCATCACAGTGTTATTTATAGAAGGAGAATATGTTTTACTACAGCTTTTATTTTCTATTCATCAGAAAAATAGCAGTAAGAGCTGTGCATGGTCATGCAACCTTATAATCCCAGGAGTCTGGGAGGCTGAAGCTGGAGGTTCACAAGTTCAAGCCCAGCCTGGGCAACTTAATTTCTTAGCAAGATAGCTTCAAAAAAAAAGTCTGTGGATGTACCTCAGTGCAAAGGCCCTGGGTTCAATCCCCCACAAGGAAGAAAGGAAAGGAGGGAGGGAAAGAGGGAAGAAGGAAATAGCAATTAAAATATCTTACCTATGTGTACAAAAACACAGTGTCTCTGGGCCAACAAGTTTGCAATCCATTCCTGTTGGGGACCGCCAGCTCACAAACAACCTGTTTTGTAAGCGCGTAGGTAAAACTTTTCTTTTGTATTCTTCGTATTCGTCAGGAGTAAAAAGTTTCCCTCCATCGTCCTCACCAACAATTCTACAACAACAACAAAAATATGTCTTAAGCCTTGGATATTTTCCAGGTTAAAAATGCTAAACTCTAAAGTTAAACTATACCTGTATATTTAAAGGGAAGGCTGCTTTGAATTTTTACTGTAGACACGTTAACAGCCGTATTATACACAATGACGAGAAAGCTTTTGCTTGTGACAGTGTTGAACATGCTCCCCCACACTACGGCAAGTTAGCATGTGAGAAAACAGAAGCAGGAAGGCTACTCTCACCTTCCCTGAGTTCTTCCCTGACACAGGTATACAACCTCATTCCAGAGATGCCCTCCCTGTATCTGCAGAGAAAAAAACATGCTTCTCGATGAAGACACAGCAATGCAGAGAAGAATCTAAGCAGTCCTTGCTATGTTCCTCCCAGTTTACTACCATTAGGCCATCTTTTAGTGATTCCATCGTATTTTTTCAGGACTGTCATCACAACCAAGCATAAAAGTGCACACGATCTCCAGTTTCTGTGTTTTCACTTTCTGAAGGCTCCCATGCCACATAAAAATGAAATAAATTTATAAGCCTTTCTCTTGTTAATCTGTTTTTCATTATGAGTGCCTCAGCCATGAACCAAATGACGACTAAAGGAAAACATCTTTTCTGTCCTACTCTTCCCATATAAAGGGGGATAAGTTAAAAGTCAGTGATTTCATAATATCTGACTATACTGATCAAAGTTTATCAATGGAAGATTGCCAACTACTCATCTCAATTTCTCCTCTGATTTGAGGCAAACATTCACCTTCTCATTAAAAGCAGAGCCTAAACTGTTAAAAAATTCTAATGTTCCATCCATTAAAAACAGGAACAAAATAAAGTGTACACACACACACACACACACACACACACGCACAAATAGAGAAGACAATATGACTAATTCCCATACCTGACCCCAAACCCGGCCAGGAGTTTAAAGTTATGCAGGTTTTAAAAACATTCTTGGATTTGCACAAGTTCAAACCCATATCTGTGTATTGGGTAATCAAGTGCTTCATTGTTTAAAATCTAAAATTTTTATGGGAAAAATTAAGCCCCTACTATTTTTATGGGAAAAGAAAAAAACTAAGAGTTTGCCTCCCTAGAGAAAAGGAGGTAGTACAATTAAAGGAAGTTGTTCAAAATAGAAGAAATTTCTCCTTAAAAATACCCCTCCTCGGCCGGGGACTTAGCTCAGTGGTTTCGCTGCCTGCTACGCAAGCGCAAGGACCCGAGTTCAATCTCCAGTACCAAAAAAAAAATACCGCTCCTCTTTTAATGTCATAAAAATTATTTTGTAGACTGCTACATAATTTTTTGGGCAATGTATATTTTTCCAAACTTTGAACCCATTAGTTGAGACAGAAAATAAAAACTAATGTGCTGTGAAATCAGCACAACCTTCTTTACTTAAAGAACTTTGATATAAAATACTAAAACCAACAGGTATTTTATTTGGGGATAAGTTTTGAGCCATATTACTTCATTATAACTACAAAAAAAGTACTAACAGGTACCAGAAAGCTCTTAAGATAATTGCAGCTCCTTTAAGAAATCATTGGCAATTAGTTCTAAACCAACTCAGAGCAAGACTACATTTTCCTTTCCAAACACCTCCCACCAAAGCACCAAAAAAGGACAACTCTGGGCAAACAAAGTTCATTTCTGGTGGAGACTTATCTTTTTTACCTTTCCCATGCATCCCCTTCCATATCTAGGCACCCAAATCTGGTTTGCCCTACCTTTCTCACATCTTAAGGTTAAGTAAAGGACTTGATGATCCCTTTTATAGAGCAGTGCTCCATGTATTTATCTTGCAAAAATAATTCCCTCCAGGCCTACCCCTGGCATTTTCTGGGCAAGAAACAACTGGAGGCCCACAACCCACATATTTAAGTATCTCTGGAGCCCACAACCTACATATCAGTATCTAACTTCTCAGTCAACACTGAGGCCCAGCAAATTGCTCCGAGAGGAACCCTAGAGAACAGAAGGCTAAAGGAGCAAGCTCTGCCTTAGGGTAAGCGCTGGTAGTAGTTCCAGCCCAGGACTCCCTGCCTCACCTAAGATCCACCTGAACCAGGCATGTGACTCACCTATCATCAAGCTCCTGACTTCACTTTTCCCACTTTTTCCAAAGAGTTCTAAGTATTACTCAAACTACACTAGCAGGGCAGTCAGCTGGGGAACCCGGCTGCCTGGGCCTCCCTAGGTGATCTGGGTTGACCAACCTCAAGCCGAGGAGCCCTTCTGCTCAAGGTCTCCCAGGCCAGCCTGGATCCACTCATCCACCTTTGCGCACACACACATCCTCCCGCCAGCCCTGGCCTGTGATTCCCACGCCATTTACCAACTGTCAACTGTCTTTCTTAGGAGATGCAGAGACATGAAAAAGCAAAACACTTCGCGGCAGGCGCGAGAGCCTTTGTCAAGCTCGGGCCGAGGAATCTAGTCCTCGAGGCAAACAGGCTGCGTTTCCGGTTTCGGGAGAGGCCCGAAAGCACCGGGTCCCGGTCTTTCTCCTAAAAGCAGCACCTCGGGATTGGGAGCACGCTGAGAAGTGCACGACTTAGCCTACTGCAATTAACATGCGAACTTAATGTCTTCTTTTATAGGCCCCGAGTGCTCACAGTAATTCTTCACAGTGCTCTGGGGCAGCGCGGATTGGACCCCGCCGTCGATCTGGAGTTAATAATCCCTCCGGGACGGAAGAGACTCGTTACTGAATGAAACTGCGTATCAGCGTATTGAGATACTGAAAGATGAAACCTGAAATTAATCTAGACCTCCTTCAACAGCCTGGGAATGGATTCCCAGAGCGCCAGCGCTCGCTCATCTGCCAGTTCCCTGCCCGCGCCACCGGGTTTGGGGAGGGGTCGGGGGTGCGGCTCGGAGCCGCCGCCACTGCCTCACCTCCGGTACTCCAGGTACTCGTCCACCGCCGCCGCGCCGCCGGAAGCCAGCGTCAGCCGCTCCATGGAGTCGGGAGGGAAAAGCGGCGAGGATACCGCTGCGCGCCCCGGGTCGGCCCTGCGCGCGCCCCTGCAGACCAGTCAGAACCGGTCCGGCCCCGCCCCGGCCCCGCCCCGCCCCGCCCCCCCGTCCACCTTC